CAGTGGAGGGAATCCTGCCTCATGTTACACACTACGGGAGGACGACTCCAAACCAAAACCACCCACTACCAAACCTTTAGTCACATGATGGAAGACCTCACTCTATGGAAAAGTGCTTATCAAATGCTACAAAAGAGAGAGTGCAGTGAATGTGAGCAGATGCAACACAGTACAGGCTCCCAAGTCCCAGTGAGGCAATCACAAAAAATTGTGGGAAGTTAAGCACAATGCAATTGACCAAAAATATCTCCGTCACTCATTTTCCTATCGCTCTCTTGTCATGTTCTCTGGCCTGCACATTTGCAGGGCAGTCTGTGAAAAAACAGGGTTGCTTTATAGAGCCTTGTCATGCTACAAATCCTAAAGGAGAATTCATTAAGGTGCCAGCTGGTCCCCTGCAAACTTTCCCTAAGGAAGTGGCAGAATATTCATCTTTGCTAGTCCATCCTTTCTCCTGCTCCTCCCTCCACTCCATCCTTGCCTGACAGGAGAGAAGACTCACTGAATGCAATTGTAAAAAAAAAACCCAAAAACCAAACCAACCAACCAAACAAAAAAACCCCATAGGATCCAAAACAGTATGTTTGTAAAATGCAGGAGCAAGCAATTGCAAACTAGTAAGGCTCATGATTACCTCAAGGAAAATCCACAAAAAGAGGGTGAAAAAAAAGGACCAAATCTGATACTGACTAACTGGAGTGTTTCTAGTAAATACAAATCACAAATGCCCACCTAAAACCTGTTTTAACAAAAGATCATCTTGGGGTAAAGATATCAGGGGACAAATGCTTCAAAAATGGCCAACACAGTAAAAATAGCACTTCTGAATTTCAACATGAAATAAACAAAGAGAATAGAAAACAAGAGTAAAACTGAATACTCAGAGACCACAAATGCAAAATCCATTAACTGGTTTATCATCTAACTGAAGCAGCAAAGCTTTAGCATAACCCAGTCTCCTGATAATCAAAATATGAGACAACACCTTTAAGAGACAGAGAAGAGTTGAACAAAGAGTTGCAAAGGGCATTAGGTTGAATAAGAATGGCTACTGTGCTCCACATCGGCTCAATCTCTTTCCATCACTTTACTATTATGTAAGTTTGCAAGACTGTCATGGAAAGAGAAAATATCACCTTGGGTTGGAAATCTTCCAGACAGGGAACACCAACAATTTCATGCAACTTATTACACAATGAGAACAGAAACTTTATAGTAGCAGACTCGCCTTAGGCTGATACACATTTGTGTAAACCTTTTGTCAACCTATTCCAATCATGAACACAGATCCTAAATCTGTACATGAATAATCACAAGGAAAAATGGGGCTAAATGGTTTGAAAAACCTCTTTAGACTGTAGTCTTTCATTTGCTTTTGTCCTTCATTTATAAAAGCTGGCTGCCAAACACAGCTAAGATAGGTAGGCACAAAAAGTTGAGACCACACAGGGACAAACTCTTAACTGCATTCAGTGAAACAGCTAATGATCAGTACACATTTCTCTACCTTTCCCATGAGGCATTTTTATAAGCTTCACAAACTACAGCATAGTTTGTGGGCAAAAAGGACCTAGACTAGTAGCATGAGGATTTCAACACACTTCAACAGTGCTTTGATCTAGAATTGTCTTCTAGTTTACATCTAGAAACACGTTCAGCTGCAGAACTGAGGTCCAGTGGCAGATGGAAATTCCATTTCCACCTTCCAAAATTCAGCGGGCTAGATCCAGAGATCCATTAGCAAAGTCACTGATGAAATGTGTTGGTGCAGCTGTTTCATGGCACACATTAATAAAATAGCTTACCAAGGCAGGGAAAAATGACTTGTTCCATTCAAATCGGAATGGGAAACTTAAGATGTACACGACCTGGAAGAATCAGACCGCAATCTGTTCTTCATACAGAGCCTAGGGCTTATGGCATAGTATAAACTACTGCACAAAACTGTAATCATTTAAGACATTGGATGTCAGCGCAGTGTTACAAGATACTCCAAAAGGTATTCTGAATGTTATGCTAGGTTCCCCTGGTCCACGTCTGAGGTCACAGACAGATGGACACAGCCTGTTGTGCACACCAATGCAGCTTTTTCCAAGAGGAAACAAGTTGCTTCATGCTTGAAGCACTAAGTCACTCATGTTACCACCAAACAAGTTTATCACATACAGGTACCTTGCTGTCTTGTAAAGAACTAATAGCTGATCAGACATCAATCATTCAGCCAGAAGTGGCAACTTGTAACGTGGATGCACAAGTAAAACTTTCTCTCCAGTGTAGCAACAACTATTCCTCGTAGAAGCACTGCCAGTTAGTAGCAGTCCCAGAACCTCAGGACACTCTTTTGAGAAAGAAGAGAAAGCCACTGATCTCCCATGAATCTGTTTGAGAAACTTATTCCATCATCAAGACAATGGTGATGAAAAACATGGACTGACTGCACTTCAACAACTGAATCAAGAGGCAAAGAAAATCCAACTGAGTTAAGTTTTCTTCAGAAAATAATTAGTAAATGATTCACAGCTAGCCACTGAAGGTGTGCCAGCATGAACAGATGGAAATTTAGAATTTAATAAACTGTTAATTGCAAAAAGAAAGTCCTCCAGTACAACTTTACCTCTGTAAATGAGATTGGAAAAATAGTAAGTGTTACGCCAGGCTCTTTCTAGAGTTCCTAGCACTGACAAAATAAAATTAATATTTATTAATCCCATGTTCTTCTATTTAAGTTACACTGCACACAACCTGAACCTTCCTGGTTCTTAATCTGCTGTGATCCCAAGAGAAGAAGGGTCTCTGTACCATAGAGCAATTTGTGTCAAAGTAATTCAGTAACACTTCACTGTCAAAGTACTCATGACAAAAGTATTAGTATGATTCTACAGTATGTTATTGACAAGATATAGGATGTTTTGGAAGAGAAAACTCTGAAGCTAAGAGAGACAGAGAAAGTAGCTGGAGGCGCTGATGTTTAGCTCATGTTAACTACACAGTAACTGGGCAAAGAACCAGGTGGGTGAAGAGAACAGAGAGTTACCTAAAAAGGTGCAATCCAGACAAAGATGCAAACTACAAATGACTGTGACAACATCAAGCATTTGAAGTTTAACATTTAAAGGCACTGTTCCTTCCTCACAGGACGTCCTCTGTTCTTTGAGGCGCTATGGGAGCAACGACAGTCTGGTTTTCCACTGATTTACACCTTCTGTAGTCATTTATTGAGCAATTAAATACAGCCAATAGTGGAAAAGCAAGGATGTGATTTCATAGTGTGTGGCACCATGTTTGTACAGGTATCATGGTGATAGGAGGTGCATGTGAGAGACTAATGCCTCAATTAACTAGAATGTAATTACTGCAGGCTTTTGAGAGCTAGTGGGCCCATTAGATTCCAGCCAATTCACTCAGCAGGCAAAAATTCCTGGTTTAGAGTCATGATCCAGAGAAAGGATGTGGTTTGTTCTAGATCACGTGAGGACTCTATGGTACAATCAGAAATTAAACCATTGTCTCTTCAGCCATAGATGTACCCCTGATCTCTGTCTGCATAAAAGGACAGGAATAGGAGGTTCAACATCAGCTGTAATTCTAGGCAGGTGTGGCAAGTTTTTCTTTCTAAAAGGGCAACCTCATTGTGACAAAAACTCAACCTCTGCTTTAATCTGAAATATAACTAAGAGCATACATTTGGAAATTGGGCAAATCATTACATCAAAATACCCACTGTATGAAATTCCCTTCCTGTTCTGCATCAGAAGTGGCTCTCTTGTTAAATTCACAGGCAAAGCACATCTAAAGAGGGACCCAAATCTACATTCTGATATCAGAGTAGTTCTGTAAAACTGAGTTAAGGAATGCATGGAAATACAACAAAAGTATCTGACAATGGTATCAGATCATTAAGACAGATGTGAAACTAAAATGTACGTGCTAGGGGGTAAAATATTGCAGGGTATCAAATGTTTATGCTTCAGACTGATAAACTTTTTTCTTAAAGAAAACTAAACAGGACACAAAAACTCAAGGCTCTCTAGATAGCAGAACCAGCCCCTATAAAGCACTCTGAAATAACATACGCTGCAAAAATCCCATGCGTGTGAAATTTGATGCAGTTTTGTGCATTCCATTTACTTTTGAAGTTTACTGCACTTTCAAGAACACACACTGAATTGAAGCATATCACTAAATAGCAGTGATTTAATTTTGCAACGTTCAGGGTTTTAGTTTCCTATTGTGGTTAAGTAAGATTTCTAAACCTGTTGAAATATGGAGCTCTGTTTTCATACATAGTATTACAGAGAACATCTCTGAATTTATATCTGTACCTATTATATCATGTCACTGAAGTGCCTACAGGTTGCACTTATTCCTGTTAATACCAGCCTCATTAAGGTATATGGAGAGGTGTCTAGAGCATGACAGGATTATATGAAAAAATCCGTTTCTGTTTGCACACAGTGTACATGATACTGAACATTGAGCTGGGGCCCAGGAAAACACATGAACTTCATTTAAAGAATAATTTATGTCCTGCTAAGATTTTTCTGAATCCTGAGTCTTCAGGATTTTGTGTTGTTTTGTTTAATCCTCCTCCTCTCCACATGTATCCTTGAACACAAACATAGGAAGTGATGTTTGCTGCTTTCCACAAGGAAAGGTTTAGAGAGAAAGATAGTATCTTTTGCCAGCCTGACTTACATGGCTAGAAAAACCAGGTGAGCTACCGGGTTCAAAATCCTTTCTTCATGTTGTCTAGAAGAAAGCAGAAAATGGCTTCATATGCTTGAAGTGTTTTTGCTTCTCCCATCTATTGTCAGTTAATCTAACAACGAGATACATCCTGTCCCTACAGATCTCACTTCATGTAAATCCAAAGACCACCACAGTCACAACAACGTTGTTTCTTTATAGCATGCTTGTTATCAAGCTGCTGTAAAGCAGCAGAAATCTATGAATCATATCTGCGTTTAGCAGTCTGAAGTAAGGAGTCACGCCTCACTTACCGCCTCCACTTCTGCTGGGTCATACCAGACATTAATGTATGGATGCTGTAAGGCTTCATCTACTGATATTCGCTTGGCTGGATCAATGACTAGCATCTTTGATAAAAGGTCCCTGGCTTGGCTGGCTAGAACAATGAAATCAGATAAACACAGTATTAGTAAAAAACAATCACTGCCTCCAGGGGAGGGTTAATTGGGTTACAAAAGTAACAATGACACAACCCTTTTAGAGATTGTTTGTATGCACTTCTGCCCCCTGCCTTGTTATAGCAAGAGCTCTTCAGTAATCATTTTAGGTCAGATTCATCAGGAAGGTACCAACACCAGGGCTGCATACCATAAATCCCCTAACAAGCTTCAATGAGATTTTACATGTTGTATGCAGATTCCATGTAGAGGGCTGAATAACATGCCCAAGAAAAGTGTGCTTGAGGTGTCTGTATTATTGCCAGGATCAGAAAACAAAAGCTCACATAATGAAGTCTAAAATCATGGCATTACATTACTAAACCAAAGCCTTGAAATTACAGGTACTCTTAGAGTGGCTCAGAAAAACATCCAAACTTTTCTGTATGTCTTAAAGTTTTTCACCTAGCCTGCTGGAAGGCATTAAATATTTTAGTGAGGCATAGGTACTGGGCTTGTCTTAGGGCATCCCATTAGAAGCAATAATGTCAAATCTCTAGCCTGGGGTCAACACATAATGGTATGGAAGTGCCTTGGAACTGCTTAAGTCTTATTTGTCCCACATAACAAAGTTGAAATCAGTGGGACTCATCATCCCCCACTACAAAAATGCACAGCCTTACATATACACATTGGGTTTTATGTTGCAACATTGATTTACTTTACCTGATAATATAGCCCATTGTGCCTATCAGGCCACAAACTCATCCTTCTATTATCCAAATTGTTTTTACTGTTTAGAGTTTGTAACAAATATAATACCATCTAAATCCATGTAAAAAATCATAACATGTATTTCTAGTATTACTATCAATGTAGTGTTCTGAGCTCTTCCATGCTCAAAATTATTTCCTGTGTAAATGCAAATGAAAGGAAAAAGAATGTAAAGAGATGGAAGTGCAAAAGTATTATTAGGTATCTCATCAGACAGGGGTGAGTAAAAGTAATATCTAAGTAAACCGTTAACATTACATTATGGTAAAAAATTTAGGCAGGGCATGGAATGATACAACGATGTACGAGCAGTATTTTTTTAATGCATGACTTCTTATTCTGTGACTGTATCTTAAAAACTGGCATTCAGTATGCTCAAATGCATGTGCTTCCTGTATCCAAAAGATAATAGCACTGTTTGACAGTCATTTCTATTCATTAGCTCTAAATCCAAGAAAAATCCATTATTCAATTTTATTGTTAGCAGGAGTATAAAATTCTGTGTATCCAAAAGCATCTGCTCAGACCTTTCACTTTGTTCTCAGAGCCGAGACAGCAGCCTTGCTATGAAATAGTTGTTAATTGGAAGAGTATTCTGGGTAGTGTAATGACATGCAAATTGCAAGCAATTGAAAACCATTACATGCCACCATAGTAAGCAGCCCCAAGTACTCAAGCAGTGCAGAACTGATACACAGTACAAGTTTGCAGGGGTTCCAGAGCTGTGATGAGAAATCCTTTCTATACCAAACACATGTTAAT